TTCTTTCGCCCGAAAGTATTCAGAAAATGAACGAACGCGCGACGCAGCGTATAATTTAGAATTATTTCTTCTGCATCTTATTTATTTACCACGTGTTTATTTATTTAATTGTTTTTTTTTGCGAAAATTATTAGTGAACCGCAATAATTAAGTTTGATCAATAATTAAGGTAGCCGCTCGGCGCAGTAATTTTCCACAGTCGCGGCATCAAGAGAGAGTCGTACATAAATTTATAATTTATTGAATAAAGAATTACTTTTCTATAAGTTTATTTAGCTATCTAAATAATAAATTTTAATTTGATGCAAAGTTGAAATGAATATATGCAATATTATAAGTACGGAAATATTATATTTAAAACATTTTTCTTATTAAAATACTTTATATGTCAGTTGATTTAACAGAGATGCACAAATAATATATATATTTCGAATAATAATATGAATTAAGAACTTTTCGTCTCTCCAATTGTACTTTTAAAACAAAATATGGTCAATAATTCTAAAGTTTTAGTATGTCTGTATATTATATTTTAATATTATAGTAATTTTTCATTAAAACTCTTAATATATAGAGCGTTCAACGTAATGGTATCTACTATTTTTTATCAGTTACAATGATCGGGCAGGAAAAAATTTTAGATGCAATTAAGTAGTTTTCAAACGACAATTGAATGCAATAATAAAAATTTTTTAAATATTCTTTTTCGTACAAAAAAAATTAAGGCTATTTATATTTTTTTTAATCGGATCATATCTTTTTTTTTTCGTAGTAACAAGGATTAAAACATAAAATTAATAGTACCTCATAATAAAATAATAGTAACTCATAATGTTATTTTTACTAATATATAACAGAAAATGCAGATAGAAAATAAGATAATATTTGGAATATAATGTAATAAATAAAATTAGGTGCTTACAGGATATATTCGAAATGTAGTTTATTTTTTGGATCGCAAAAATCCGCTCTTTGTAATAGAATCTTATATGCCGTATCAATCAGAATATTTCGATTTATATTTCTGTATGCTTGCATTATATGTTTTTGAAATTCTTTATTATTATTATTTTACTATACTTTCTTTTGCTGTGAAATAGCAATAAAAATAATTTTATGAGTTACTATGGAATTTATTTTGATTTTTTTTAACAATATTCTATTTACGAATAAAAAAGATTGAGTTTTATTTAAAAAAGTGAAGATGACTTTGACTTTTCTACGAAAAAAAATGTTTTTGAAATGTTTTGTTTTGTTGCATTTTATTGCCGTTTAGAAACTGATTAATTGCATTTAGAAGTTTATTCTGTTCGATTATTGTAACTGCTAAAAATATGGTGGATACCATTACAGAAAACACATCCTGTAGAAATAGTCTAAATATTAAATATAGTTTATTAATATAAACTTAATTTTAAATACAGAAATAATTAAAGAAAATAAAACGCGCTATCTGCAAAGAGTGTATATAAAAAGTATCAACTTTAGTTGCAAACATCAGCTTGTAGAAGATCAAACTTTTTCTAATTTAGCAAACAATTTTATAATATTTCCAATATATTTCATATGTCTCATAAGTTTCAATAACATATTTATAACAAATTTATTTGATGAGACAACTAGCTTAAAGGTTCCTGTTTAATTAGTCGAAAAATAGGTAGTCTTTACGAATTTTTTTAAAATAAATGAATATAGATAGCAATAAAAGGATTTACCATATTATTTGTCATTGTTTTAAGTTTAAAGAGATTATAAAAGGAAATAAAATTCTGTCTATACAGATTTTTATGCTGAGCACGGTGTCGCCAGATGCCTTTAACTGATGGATAACATATATAATAATCTAAAACAAATATAACTTATATAATAATCTAAAATAAATGAGACCAGAAAATTTAAAAATTGCATTAAATTTGCTGGAAAATGAAATTTTTTGGAAAATTAAAAAAATAATATTTTTCCTGGAACATTAAAAAAGAAAGAGAGATGAAAAACGACTAACTTCGAACTTTGAAGTTCTGTCATTTTATTAAATTGACTTTCTGCATATAACAAAGATTTATCCTCCAGCAAATTTAATACAATTTTTAAATTTTCTCTTTCTATTTGTTTAAGATTATTATGAGCTAAATAATATAATGTCACCAGTTAGAGCCGTCTAATAACATCGTGTTCAGCATAAAAACCTGAACAACGAAGTTTAAACAAAAATTAAATAAAAATTAAATAAAAATTAAATAACTTCTTTTAAATAAAAAATAATTTGTTTATACTTAAAATAATGATAAATAATATAACAAATATTGACCTATATTGATATCTTTATTTATTTTTTTGAAGAAAATTGTCAAAAACCTATTTTTTGGCTATCTAAACCAGAACCTTCCCTTAACGTATGCTTTATTCTCAGGAATGGAGATGGCGGGTGTGAAGAATCGAGTTTTCGGTAGTACTATTATCTCCTGTATGTTTGCCGTGGGTGAGATCCTGTTGGGACTAATCGCGGGGTGGCTAAAATCCTGGCGGGCGTTACTCAGGATCGTGTACGGGCCGGCGCTGCTCGCCATTTTCTTGCCTCTGCTCATCCCGGAATCGGTCAGGTAACTCTTCTTGTAGCGTGCGCGTCGCTCACGCATCGGCATGACATCATTCTTGTCCGATTAGCGAGATTTAATCGGCGGACATTATCGATTAGATTCTACGTGACGTACATGCTCGAGATCTCGTAATCCGCACGATCAATCGTGCGTCAGATTAAGAGATTGAGAGTGGAGGAATGCGTGTTTACGACTTGTTGCATTGCGGCGTTTTTATTGTAATTCTGCTTCTTTTACTGATTTCCTGTTTAAAACATTTGATATAGTTAAATAAGAAAATATCTATGTATTTAAATTGTGTTTTTGGTTCATAAGATTATTTATTTGAAATGTAAATTATCTAACAATTTTATCTTTCTCAATCTTATTTATTTATTGTTTAATTATTTATTGTATAATTTATATGTTATTTTTAAATCAACATCTATTTGACGGTTTTAATAAAAGCGTAATTAACGCGTAGTAGATTATGTTAACAATAAATATACTCTAGCAAAGTTATGCATATTTCATAATAAAAGGAACGACAGCCAGTTCTCCCAATATTACATGGACGAAAATAGAAAAGCCCTGAAATGATAAAGAGAAATGATACCCTAAATTAAATATATGTCTAGTTAGTGTAGCTATATACATATATGTGGTTATCGCAATTAACAATAATATACAATTGAACTTATTTTGTCTTTAATAAATTCATATATAAACCGTTTAAAAAAGTAAAAAATATTTTATTTCTTGATAAAAGTATATTTTCAAACGATTTAAAACATTTAAATAGATTATTTTATAACATACAGTGTTTATATAAATATATAAAAATATTTTTTAATTAAATTATACAAAGATTCATATTAACATCAAACCATAACTTGTTAACTGAATCATTAACTGAATACAGATAATTCAGTAAAATTATATAGAATATGTATTCAGATAAATATTTAATCGTTAAAGTAAAATGTACGGTAACAAATGAAAGAATTTAGTAACTTTTTTATATCAGCTGAAATGTGAGATTCGATAGAAATTATGAGTTCAGATAAAGTCATATAGTACTTCAATGAAATTTAGATATATTTCCATCAATCCTTATGTCCTTTAGACATTTTAAGAGTGTAGGGATACGATTTTTTAATGGAGATTTTTGTGCGAACTTTACGTTGCGTAGGTATAATACCTTTTATACTTCTTTTTACTTTTATCCCTGAAAAATGATGTAACTATCTTCAAGGTGGCTACTGTCAAAGGGTAAGAACGACCAAGTGGAGAAAATCTATTACAAAATGGCACGAATGAACGGCCTGCAAGTGACGGACGAAGCTGTCAGAGAATTTAAGGAGCTAAATGTCATTAAACCTCAAACGGTATGCCATATGTCTATCTTCTTATCTTTACTTACAAATATGTATTCATTTATGATGTCAGAACTTGTCTTTTTGAAGATTCATACTTACTATTATTTTAATGGTAAGAGGACGAATAATTACATTTCCCATTATATACAGAATTCGTGTATAATATCAGTTGTAATAGATATACACTTCCAAATCCATTTCCCTTTGATTGAATACTCGTGAAGATTGATCGTATTTGTAATAATTATTTCACGAGAACAGATTAACGACATTTTCGATTATTCATCTGATTTGAGATGGATTTGAGACACAAATCGATGAAAAAGCTCGCACATGATGCGACTGTAAAACGCGCGTGATTTCTTCCAGAAAAACGAGCTGGTGATGTCGGAGGAGAGGAAGCCAATCGTGCAAGTTCTACATAGCTCGGTCATACTCATCCGCTTGCTGGCCTGCTCGTTCTGCTGGCTCACGAACACGTTCGTTTATTACGGATTGTCATTGAATTCCGTGGCATTCGCTGGAGATAAGTACACCAATTTCGTGCTCGTCGCCTTGGTCGAGATACCGGCGTACTTCCTCACCTGGCTGCTGACTGATCACATCGGCCGTAAGCCAACGCTCTCTGGCTCGTTCCTGCTGAGCGGGGTATTCTGCCTCGCGATTCAGTTCATACCGAAAGGTAAAAAAAAAAGAAGAACGAGGAAGGAAAAAACAAACGAATTTCTCAGACAGCGATGGATCGCGAGAAGGCTATTAAAGTTGCGATCTGGCGATATGGAAAGCGGGGATTTGAATCGGATTAGATCGATCACTTGTAATCACAGCGATTTCATATCTCGGCAGCCAATAAAGACGACAATCATGACGTTTGTAATGATCGAGATGCGAGATACCTAACGTACACGAATTCGTGTCAGATAACTCTTAATCATAAATCGAGTTCCAATTTCGGGTCAAACTTGGTTTATTAGTGTATTGAAAAAATATATATTATAATGAAAACACGAAAAATATATTTTTCATCTTCTTTAATTTTTTTAAAGTTATTTCTTAAAATTAAAAATTCATAAATATTATTAATATTAAAAAAAAAAATCTAGAATATCATTTGCTTTATCGATTATTTAGATTTATAAGATTGTTATTGTGCTCTATGTATACCATTATTCTATATAGACAACAATTAGTGAATCACATGGACATTATTAACATAAAATTGGGTATCGTAAAATCTGTTATAGGGATGTGAAGGACAATTTGTCCTTGATTTGGACTTATACGCATAAAGATTCTAAATTATTTTCAATTTAGTATTTTTTACTTTTTTTATATTTAGAATCTTTCTAATCTCTTTTAAGTTAGAATTAATTAATTTAAAGCCTAATTATTTTACTTTAAAATTATAAGGTTTAGTGCTTATATTGATATTAATAGTTCCTCTTAATATTCAGTCGACAAATTTATATGAATATAACAATTTATATGACAAATTTATATGAATGAATGAAAGTTATTCTAACTTTAAATAATCTGTATAATTAGGACTGTTAGCTAATACTGAGCGGTAGACTAGACTTAATCGTTGGAGTGTCACGACTAGTCACACGTTACATTCGAAAAGTGCCGAGCAGCGCAACGCGTTTTTACTGTTTCATGTCTATTGTTTTAGTTTTTCATTCACTTCTCATAAAAGAGTCGCAATAAAGGTCATGGTAGAGCTTGGCTTTAGTAAAACCTTTTCAAGTTATAACACTGACGGTGCGCTACGGTAGAATCCAAGCGCACTTTCAGTGCGTACTTCCGGAGCGCATTTTCGCCTACTGCGGCGATAGGTTGGCACTTTTGAAGTAATTGTGATCAGTCAGCAGCCAGCTAAGGCCGGTGTACTCCAATGGTTAATCACAAAGCAATTAGATTACTAGTATTTTTTGATGGTAGACACTCATTTTTGGATATCAACGTAAAACTGCCACAGTGACAGATTATTGCTGTCAAACACGTTTCCGGAAAGTTCAACAATCGGCTTAGTATTTTAGATTGTCCCGGTATTGGTATTCATCCGTGCACATAAAAAAATTGTTATTATTTTTAAAACAATTTAAAAGTCTTTCATATTTTTTATGTGTCGATAATACATTTTTACATTTCAACTTTCGATTAATTATATAATTTGTTCATTAAATATTGTGTATTTTTACAAAAATTTGCTAATTTTATTTAATTAAAAATTTAGTTTGACATATACTACGTGATTAGATATTCAACGTTTATTTTAAAATCTGCAATCGGTTGCAAAGAAATCATGTTTGGCATCGTTATTAGCTTAGTTGCGATCTTGAACGCGCGTCCGCGATTCAGGATCCTAAGAACAGGAAATTAAATGATGTTAAAATGAAAAAATGATCGAGTTATGATTGAAAAGTGAATTTGATGTAATTGCCTCGTCATTTAGACATCATTTTGACATCATCGTGATTTTTTGTTCTACCTGAGATAGAAGAAGATTATCTCAATCATGCTTGTACAGTCAGTCACAATAATTAGTTGTCTGAGAAGTCGTGATTTCTGAAAAATATCCCATCCGGCCGCGGTTTCCTCCAATTACATCGTTTGTAATTAGTGTTGCGGCACGAATTCAGAGATTGATTAACGCTGTTTCAGGTGGATCGAGTTATGCGCCTTTACTTTTATACATGGCCGGAAAATTATGCATCACTATAGCGTTCGCCACTATCTACATTTACACGACGGAACTCTTTCCGACGACGATGAGGCATTCGCTACTGGGCATTTGCAGTATGACTGGCCGCATTGGATCAATCTTATCGCCGCAGACGCCCCTTTTGGTGAGTCAACAGTGGAATGCGTCGCATCGTGGTAAATACGTGTGGATAGTGGATCGCACGAATGTGTTTTCCCAATTGCGCCTCGATAACGTCGTCACGCAAATCCACAAAAATTATGCCAATCGACACTCCTCTTATTAATTGCGCGAGTAAGATCGTGGAATAGAAACGAGAACGGTTTTTACCAGCTCCTTGCGGAAAACATTTATCGGCTTGATATCTTTTTACTTCTTCGCGAAGTAATTTTTCGCAAAACCTCGAAGCTTCGCAGAAAACCCGCAGGCTTATTCTGTAATTCTTTCAATTCATATTATAAGTTACACACACACACTTCTATTTTTCTCCAAAATATTAGAAGCATACAAAATAAAAAAAAAGTTATCCCGGAAAGTTATAATAATGAATTTAGCATAATAAGGCGATGTATTGACATCATTATTTATTGTTGTTGTTATTTTTAGGAATATTGTCTCATGCTTTGTCTAATATTTCGAGAAAATTGTATTAAAGAAGATTGTCTCAATATTTAGATATTGAGAGATTATAACCCGGGAAAAAATTCATATTTATAAGATTTTAACTATGTCTAGGTATAGCTTCCGGAATGGAGCCGTGTCTTGAATCAGCGATGTGCCGACGTTTCGCAAACGTTCTAAGATTTTAACTATATATACAGGGTATCCCATTTTAAAAGATGCACCCTGATAATTCTTCAGTCAAGCATATTCAGCAAAAATGTTTCACACAAAAATTATATGGTTTGATAAAGGACATAAGAAGTACCATTGATTTGACTTTGCGCGGCGCCGCCAACGTCAAGTCGAGGTCAATTTTGTTTTTTTAAGTAGAAACAAATATTTTTTACTATGGAATTTTATTCTACGTAAAGAAACAAACAACTTTTGTTTGAAAACATTTTTTATATGACCTCTATTTTCTAAGATATTTACGGAAATGTCTACAAAATTATTGTTTTCAATAATTTTTTACTTGAATTCTATACCGAAAAACTTTACCGAAAAATAGCAAGAAATAAAATTTGTTTATTTTTTCTCGTAGAACTCTGAGAATTTTTTCATAATTTTTTAATTAACTTTTTATTACTTCAAGAAAATACAAGAAAATGCAGTACTAAAAAGTTAATTAAAAAATTCTGAAAAAATTTCCAGAGCTCTATGAGAAGAAAATAGAAAAATTTTGTCTCTTACTATTTTTCGGTAAAATTCATAAAATTCGAATAAGAAATTATTGAATCCAATAATTTTGTAGATATTTCTGTAAATATCTTAGAAAATAGAGGTCGTGTAAAAAATATTTCCAAACAAAAGTTGTTTGTTTCTTTACGTAAAATAAAGTCCCGTAATAAAAAAATATATTTTTTATTTAAAAAAACAAAATTGACCTCGATCTGACGTTGGCGGCGCCGCGCAAGGTCAAATCAATGGTATCTTCTTATGTCCTCCATCGAACCATATAACTTTTATCTGAAACATTTTTGTCTGTCGCTCTTAGTTTTCGAAATATTCGGCTGGATAAATTAAAATGTATATCCACATTAAAAATAATGCTGTTATGAAGATACAATTGGAGTAAATAATTATGTTTATGGTAGCTCATGACATTAACATCTAATTAAATCAAATTGTTTTCCTTTTTTTATTCAACAGTATTTGTTTTATACATGGACATATAGTTACATGTAATATAGTTACATGTAAGGTTACATATATGGATAGAATTATATATCGTATATAATTATATATAATTATATGTATTTTTATATTTTATATATTTATTATATATATTATTTTTTATATATATTTTTATATATATGATTATGTATGAACTTTTTTTTTTACGGGAACTTTTCAGGAAATCGTCCCATTTCTCAAATTCGTCCCACTTCGTGATATTTTTTATGTCTTAGGACAACGCATGTCACTACTTTCATGAGTGTTATGGGATAATGCACATTTTATTAACAAAGTAGTGACGCAAAAGTTTATAGAATAGGCTTACTGAGCTTTTCTTTTTTTTTTTCGTCAAGTTCTTGCAATCGCCGCCGAGAGAATTTCATTGCGCCGAAAGCGATTCACCGTGACTGTCTCGGATATCTCTCTAATTGCACATGTCTCGTTTGCGTCCAGGCGCAAATAATGCCCGCGCTGCCGCTCATCCTCTTCGGTGCTATGGGCATGATCGCGGGCGTCCTGTCTCTGATTTTCCCGGAAACTCTGGGGACGAAACTTCCGGACACCGTGTGGGAGGCGGAAAACATCGGCAAAGTGCAACTCAAACAGGACTCGTAAGATAGCCGGCCTTAGGAGCCGTAGGACGCCGACGAGCGCAAACGCTAAGACGAAGCGTTAAGTCTTTCCACGACGGAAGAAGGGCGATAGCTTTTAAAAGTTTACCGATGACGCGCGCCCGCCTCCCGAGTAGTATTACTGCTTCGATCTTTGTTTGGTCAACGCTTGTTTCAATAGTAACTAAACAGTAAAACTAGTCAGTTTCTAAGTAATCAGTTACTTTTTAAATTGCTAATACGATGTAATTCAATTATTTTTCGATCCCATTCAATAGCTGCTTTTAACAGAAATTTGATAAACAATTATTGTTAACCGTAGAATTTTAAATAAGAATGGCTGCTGAAGAGGGCTAGAAAATTATCGAAATATTTATAATAGAAAATAATAATAATAGAAATAATTATATAATAGAAAAATTGAAAATTATACTAAAAATTATATTTTATGCATAACTAATCGCAGGAACATTAAATGTAAATATTACTTACAATTATCGTATAAAAAGAGCGTATCTTTGTTGTGACAGTTCTTTTTATATATTTATATATTCTTTCATATCTTCGTGTTTGACACTTTTTACGATCACTCTTTGTATTACACTTCGTATAGTATAATTTATATAGTATTCGTAGCTATACTTATATATTCTTTCATATCTCTGTGTTTTGACGCTTATTATAATAGCTATTCGTAAAGACAAAAAACTAATAAAACTGTAATCCTGACCTTCACATTGCCTCTAACTCCATTGCAATGTATTGAAATGTATTGAACGTCTAAAAAATATATGCCGAAATATTATACGTAGGTGAATCAAATATAAACCGGACTTTTTTTGCAGTTAAGGAAATCACGTTACCGGACTTTTAGGGATTGAAGGTAGGAATATGTGAAGGCGGTAACCATTCTGGTCCTCTATACAGAGCCTTTTATCTGGTCAGTAGCACAATGTCTGAACAAGAGATACCATCGTCCGTTGCGCAATGGGTTATTATTAGGTTTCTAATTAACGAGGTAGTCAAACCTCGATTTGAAATTTTGACTAGACTACATGCACAGTTCGGGGAAAAAACGCTTTCACGGGTTCAAGTATTGGACTGGCACAAAACATTTGGAAGCGGCTACGCGAGAAACAGTTGAAAATGAGAGCCATAATCGTAAGGTGACTAGACGTCCCGATTTTTCACCTTTTGTTCCGAATTTTTTCGAGTGCTATTCGGGATACCAAATTGTCATCATTTTCAATGATTGTCAAATAATTTTCGGATCTTTTTACCGCCCTTCCTCCGCCTCTCGCTTCACACATTTATGAAATGTCTCGAATTCAGGGCTGGGAAATCTGATCACCTTACATAATCGCCGCCTTCGGATGACAACATTAGAGCGGTTCGTGATCTCATCGATGGTGATGAAAGAAGAACCGTCAATGCGGTATGTTACTGCCAACTCTTATACAGCGTTAAAGCTGTCCACTGAAACAAGAGAAGGACGTCGCCAACCCGCGACGTCCTTCTTCTCCCACGACAACGCGAGGTCTCATACGACTGCTTTAACTTGTGATAAGTTGCGTGAAATGTATTGAATGCCCTTCGAACATCCTCCTTTCACTGCAAATCCGAGTGTGTATTCTTAAACGCATAAGCGTGTAATTGGCTGAAACTCTTCTCACACATCTTTTGTGGTTTTAAATCACGTCATTTAACACGTTTGTTGATGTACAAATTAGAATTTTATATATTTGAGCGTGTTAAATGACGCGACTTGAGACAGTAAGAAATATATATAAAAAGAGATTTAACTAGTTACGCACTTATATGTTTAAAAGAACACATTCGGATTTATTAGAGAACAAAGAACTCACAAATAAATATAAATTTAATAATAGGAAAAAAAGGCTAATATGAATACAAGCACAGTAGTTATAGTGCTATAGTACTGAAATTGGTAAAACCTTCCTTATATTAGGATATAAGTAATTTATTTTACAAAGAATATATAAATGATCAAACGTTCGGTTCATCCATGAACTCTCTTCAGTGATATATACATAAAAATCTCAAGGTACAGAACCACGAAATTCAATCGATAGTACTCAGACTTGGTGAGCAGGAAAAACGATATTATTTTAATATTATGGTCGACAAAAGCGTTAAATGTCAATATCCATCCCGTTACTCGTAGAAGCAAATATTAAGGCGGTCGTATGTCTAACAAAATATAAAAAGAATCTGTAAAAACTAAAATGAAACAAATTAAATAGAAAAGATTTTAAATTACCTGGAACAGATTGTAGGCTCAACCAAAAGTAAGAAACGATATTGTCGACGATAATATTATCAGTCTCAGGAATACGAATAATGAAATAATTTATATAGCGTCGATGTAAGTAATCCGATGTAAAATTCGGATTTGCAGTCACATTTGCATGTACAGTTCAGACTTCACTATATGACTACCATATGTTTGGGCCACTCAAGGAAGTGTTAGAAGGGCAAAGATTTAACGACGACGCAGGTGTGGATGAGTTCGTGCGCAATTGGCTTATGACGCTTTTATCTTCCTTCTTCGAAGAAGGCACAAAAAAGCTTTCGATCCGATAGAAAAAATTCCGTTTCCGTTAAAAGAGATTATATAGAAAAATAATTGTATTTTTTAATAATTTTATATTGCTTCAATAAATTAGAAAAAAGTCTGGTTTATATTTGATTCATTCACGTATTTTCTGTTTAAATAGACAAGTCAGCTATTATTTATTAATCAGTGTTTGTTCTGATTAGTGTCTGGCTAATTTTTGTCTAGGAAGTAAGGATTAAGATACTGCGAGTTTCAATTGAACATAAACTAACTATTATCTGCTAACCAGTTTGTACTAATTCATGACTAATTTTTTCGTCTAAGTAATATTATAAGTTTTGAGTGTTCTAGCTATTTTTACATATATTCTATATATTCTAGCTACTAATTTGCACTGATTAGCTTTTTTGATTAGTTTTGATGCAGAAAATACTGTTTTAACCGCACTATTTATTAAGAATTGGAATTACCTATATACTGACTAATAATCAGCCAGTTTTATCTCGATACGATTTTCGCATTTGTTTGATAGTTACAGTTTAGTAAAGCTTAGTCGTTGCTTTTCCCGGAAAGTTTTCTACTCGGGCTATTGGCGACGTCAGCAGACTATCGGGATAGAAACATGTTTTGACGAAACTCAATGCCCGAAATGTGATGCAGTATAATTGATATTGGACAGTGTCCACTGTTCGATATAAATGCTGCGTCTTACCGCGCGTGGTATTACGATCACGAAAGTATTGCGCCTACAGCAATGCGCTCACAGATTTTATCATGTTTCCGCTATTTGAATAAATATACGACGTATCCTTCAATTGTTTATCTTCCGCGCAAACGGCCGCCACTGTCGCCGTCGTTGTCGCCGCTATCGTCTCATTTGTCTTTCTTCCTGCGTTTAGCTGCACGGAAGAAGGATTATAATACCTTCCAGTGAAGTTGCGCGATATCTCGAAGTCCGCCGAGGTCTCTGCGGCGTTCATGCGCGCGGGCGTCGTCGTGCGCGTAACATGCAAGTTATTTAACCGTGTTTAACCCGTGTTTAATCTGTTCTGTGCTGTTAGGGTCACCGGCGAGTCGCGCTGGACCTTCCTTCAGGTCATTTAATATCTTCCCTCATTAAGGGAAACGACGGTCGACAAAACGATACGCTTGAAAAGAGATTAGCGATTTCGTGGATCAAATTAGCGTATGTTCTTAAACATTGTACTCTTAAACACGTTGTGTGTGGATTTAGTGCAAAAGCACATGAGTACCGAAAATCTTACTAGTTAGATTCTTGTATCACCAATCTCTTATTGAGCGGCTCGCGTGTTCAGCCGAATGTAATTATTGTGGGTTATCGCTGACGCATACTCGCGAACGGAAAGTTTTGTGAAATTAATCCCTTGATCTGTGTGGCGAAAATGAGACTTGCCGCCAGTGTGTGAAAAAAAGTTTCTTCCTACATTTCCGCTACGATTTTAGTATTAAGGTTTTCAAGGTCGCTGAATCCGAATATGATATCAGAATTTCAAAATTTCAATATGGCTGATTAAAATATAAAAATCCAATTATTTTTCCAATTTTTAATCCGCCATATTGGATCAACCATTTTGAATTTTGAGATTCTGATATTATATTCTGATTCAGAGGCCTCAAAAACTGTAAGATACCAAACTTCATATAAATCGCAAAAAGATAAATTGGTTTATTTAAAGATGTACGTACAGGGTAAGTTTTTAAATTGAGACAAAATATCTGGAAAAATATTGTACGAAAAAATGTTCCAAATAAATATTTTCGAAAGGGCAATACTATCCCGTAAAAGTTAGCTGCCTTCCGCCTCTCTGGGGGTAACTTTGAAATCTTAAATGGGAACTCTTACTTTTTATTGCAGATTCGGATTCTTCGTCTAAAAACACCCTTATGAAAAAATACTTTTAGTGGCTATTAGAACTATAGCACTAATGCTATTTTCGTTATAGTGACACTATTGGTGTCACTATTAGTGACACTGTTAGTGGTAATAGTTCTAGTAGTTACTTTTAAAACAATGGGTTAAGTTCACTCTTTTTCATTAAAAAGACATTTTTTCAAATGTTTTGGAAAAACGTTTTTAAAATATTTATTAAACGTTTACATGAACATTTATAAATATAATAAAAATATAAATATTTTTTTCTTTTCTTAAATTTTCCACTTTATTGTTTCACACGCTACTTAATTCAATTTAAATTGTACTTCGAAAATTTGCTTACGAAAATGCTGAGATTCGAACCTGAGACTTCTGTTTGCTTCTTGAGTCGTTCACCTTACTCACTGCGCCACTGTCACTTTCACCGAGAGACACTTTATATTGTATACATATCATATATCCATGTACGAATGATTTATTAAAAAGAAAAGAATAGATCTTTTTAAACGTAAAAAGAACGTTTGAAAAAAATAAGTATTAAATCAATACTAAAATATTTAAATATTATTTTAAATGTTTAATAAATGTTACATAAACGTTTAATAAATATTAAATAAATATTATTTTTACAATAAACTGTGCAATGTAATATCAATAAAAAATAAATATTTAAGAAACGTTTAAAAAATATTGTCTGCTGATTGGGTAGAAAAGTAATTGTCATAGAAAATAAATTTTTGTACAGGAAAAATAATATTTAATAACTTTATAAACATATTCCTGTAATAATGAATTATCTTTCATAGTTTTTCTATAATAATAATAAAGTTTACATATTTATACACATCAGCTCATCAAGTGTCACTTATAATACTCGTATTACCACTACTGGCATTTGTAGTGTCACTTCTGACATTACTGGTGCCACTAATAGTATCACTGCTAATACTAGTAGTGTCACTATCAGCACTAATAGTGTTACAATTAATACAATTAATATCACTACTAAAGTCACTAACAGTGTCACTATTAATATTAATATGTCACTATCAGCATTAATAGTATAACTAACAGTGTCACTATTAGCACTAATAGTGTCACCATTAACACTAATAGTGACACTACTAGCACTGCTAGTGAAATTATTAGTGACACTATTACCATTAATAGTATTTTTTTGTAAGGGCACGTAAATTTTGTCTGAAACATTTTTTTCGATTTCTGATAGGTGACGCTGCATTTGGCGAAAATTGGCTAATCATTTTTGTTACTGGATCAATAAAAATATCGAAGTTGAAAGTCATCAGTTCGAGTATTTATTGAATTGAATGATGAGAGGTAAGGGGATTCACTGAA